ATCTGGCGCAGTATCAGAAAAGAGGGGGATAGAGTAATCCTCCAACGCAACCTAGATGCGGTCGGACAATGGGGAATCGAAAAAGGTCTCCTACTGAACCCGTCAGGTTGCCATGTAGTACACGCCAGGGAAGAAGCCGACAGCAGATACTACCTTAATTCGGTGCCACCGATGGTAGTTGAACAGGAAACAGTTCTAGGGTTGGTTCTGTCGAATCGTCCAAACTTCTAACAAAACTGCGCTAGGCTAGTGAAACGAGGCAGAGCCTAATAGACCGGAACCTGGGAAGACTGGAGCCCGAGTGCTTCAGAATATTATACAGAGTCTACGTAAGACTCCACTTTGAATATAATATTCAAGTGTGCCCCCAACCTTAGTACGAGACATTAAAGCACTGGAAGCGGTTCAGAGAAGAGTCACCAAGCGAGTCATCGGGATGTCGCAACTGAGCTACGAAGACAGACTTAAGCGATTCAACCTCTTCACACTTTCCTACAGGAGGCTGAGAGGGGACTTAATATTGATACACAAAATAGTATCAACGCAGAGTCACCCGAACAGCGAACTGATAGCACTATCGCCGCACTGTCAACTGCGAGGGCACTCTAAGGCCATCTTGCACCAGCAGAGTAGTACTAATAGCGGACGGTTACATTTCTCCATCCGGGCCACATCCGCTTGGAACTCATTACCCGAGATAGTGGTCTCTGTGCCTACGACAGCGTGTTTCAAGCAGATAAATTCGCCGTGGGCCTCACCTCGGCAGTGGACAGTAACCTAGAGTACCCTAGAAGTAGTGTTAGGTGGACCTCGGGACTGTCCACGCAATACACCTCGTAAAGCGTGTAAATCGGTCCAGCTAACTGACTACAAATTACTTATCTGCAACATCTTCAAAAGTAATCTACCAATCTCCTTTTGCTTACACTTTCAGGCTACAAGAATAAACGTATGCAAAACAGAAATTCCCCAATATCAGACTACTGTGTAGATCAAGAAACGGTTAAAACTACAAGCCAAAGAGCTTTCTCCGCCTGTAGACTGGACATTGAACATAAACTCACCTTGAGCGTACAGTGTCAAAGAAGCCTGTATTGCTATGTGCAGGGCATTAAATCCAAACTTTTCGAACATGACCTCAGCCATTTTTTCTCTATTCTTCAGTGGGTTCAAAGGTGGTTCCGTCAAAAGTATCTTCGCGTGTCGAGGATCGATGTTCATTTTTTTCGGCCCGAAGATATACTCGTATAGTAGAATCATATCATCCCAATTTCGAACAATACCGTTTTCCATCGGATAACTGATCTCCAGCAATTGTCTCAATTCACTCGCTTCGTCGCCTATCATGATATCCTGAACTTCCACATTGCCTATTCTCGAGGTGGCCCGCAGCATGGGCCTGCCGATCATTGAGGGAAATATGTGCTCCGGGAACTCCGAACCTGCATAGCCACATTTTACGAACTAGGGTAAAAATGGCTTAATGTATGAGACGACGAACCCCTGTGCCATTGTCGCAAACTATAACACGATCGCCGTCGAGATCAGTGGCCATAAAACGCGCACCGCAAAATCTTATATATTCCGCCGTCAAATTCGAAATTCAGGTCAGGTCAGGTCAGATTGCACAGGACGGTAGAGGCTTTCGCCTATCGAGCGTCCAGATTCTTGCTCCAGTCGGAA